CTGGCTCTGAACACTGAAATGTGCAATTTCTTTCAGATGGACATAGCTACGCAGATTTAGTAGGATGTGTGCATGCATATGTTTATGTGTGTTTGTGTGTTTATTGCTTCAGAATTGCCTAGAGTTACATCATCCCAAGAGATATATTCAGCCCTGTATGCTCAGATGGAATATGATGTTTGCACATAAAATGATAAGGATTCGTGAGGCACCCAGACAGGAAGGTGAGGTGAGGCAGTTATAAAACAGATGCTAGCACTACTTTTGTGCTGGAGTCCTCTGAGGTAGGCTGCTCTGTGATAGACTAGTCTGTGTTCTAAAAAATGTTTTTCCTGGATTTTTTATTTGAAACTAATTTTAACCTACCATGGAAATTCATTATTTTGATCTGACATTAAGTACATTTTCAATTGTATCCAGATTTTATTGACTAGGGAAAAAAAACTGTAATTGCTCTAGTGACTAGGATAAATGAAACATTTCTGAAGTAGTATAAAGACCAGCTAAATTCTTGAAGTGACAGGATTTGGTTTGAAACCAATAAATTAATTTGGTATTTTAAAAAAACAGCAAGCATCAGAGAAAAAACTTTATCCAAGGCATTTGTTCATCCTCAGCCTGTTTTACATCCCATTCTCCTTTTGGCAGCAAACTTGGTAATTGAAGTGAACAGTCATCTGTCAAAAAAAGAGCAAAGGCTGAAAGGAAAGATCATGATCATCTTTTTATTATTGGCATTAAATATTTATCAGCCCAATTCAGTAACAGATACATATATGTGCTGATGTGATAGAGATAAATGTGTGAGTGTGTGCATGCACATGCATGTGGCTGTTCTGCACATAGAGTGGATTATATTGGAGCACAACGTTGATGGGTCAGATACTGGAGCCTGAGGGTGCTGAATATATCTTGGACTCGACAGCAAGGAGGTTGAAGATGTATGAACCATACCTGGAGCATTCAGGATCTCTCAGTCTGATACACACTCTCATCATTCCCTCTCAGGATGATCCATAGTGGTCTGAAAGCGGGGTCCGCAACCTATGGCAGATACATTTGTAACCCATCAAACATCTTTTGGCTCTTGCTAAGTATCTACTGACATACTTAACTTCTAATTTGAGAAATAAATACATGTCCTGTGGTTTTCCCTACTGTAATATAAAACTGTGAACGTGGTGAGACTCTTTGGTATATATCCAGCTAGCAGTCCAAATTTGATCACACCAAAGGAATAAATAACTTTAATACAGTAGATCATGCTTATGTTCATTTGAAGGAAATACACCTAATACTAGCTCTGTTCAGTTTTTGCTCACTTCAGTTTTTGCTCCTTTGTTGGTGTACATTCATTCCGGAATGAAAGCAGTTGCTCTATATTTACCTATATTTATCTTTTGAAAGCTACCTAAGACTGAGCTCTAGGAAGTGTTAACTTCCCTCCCTCATCAGCTGCGGGTGTTAGTTTCATGGCACTGTCTGCACAATCAGCATCCCAATTACCTTTAAAACCACTGTGAATAAATACATTTCTTCACAATGCAAAGCTTGGAAAATATCCAGTAATTTCTAAGAGCAGTCTTCCTATCAGTTCACCAGCAAAAAAAACCAACTTGAGAATTCTACAGTTACATATAAGATATTGTAATCACAGCGATCAGTAATCAAAAATATGTGATTTGAAGTCAAGTATGTTAACCTGTGTATATTCATTTACTTATGCCCTCCTAACTCAGTCTTTCAAAGATAAATGAGCCCATTTATAAAATGAACAACATATTTAAGCATAGAACTGGGGCTTTGCTTCACATTTGTAAGAATGGAAAGGCTGTCTTTTGGAGTGTTTCCACAAACCATTTATTTTTAATGCTTCTTTATTTCGAGGCGAACAGGGGTGGATTCTGAAGTACTGACATTCCACATTCTTGTACCCTTTTTATTTAGTTTAGACATATTCTCCAGTCTTCCAGGAATATGCATGTTTGTGCATGTCCCTCTTCCCTGCCTATAGACAGGCACCCATCAATACTTCAGTTTTATGACACCTCAATATTTTTTTCTCAGCATATTATGAAAATTTTGACAGCACAATTTTGAAAGTGCCTGCTTTCTCATGTGTTCACCTGCTCATCTCCACTTGTTTAACTCTTTATCCCTATATGCCAATAGATATTATCAGTAAACCCTCCTGGTTTAATCTCCAAAATGTCTCAGAAATCTCCCCTTTCCTCTTCGTTCTCCCCATAAAATCTTTTTCAAGTCCATCCTTCTCCACATCCATGCCTACTGCGACCTTGCTGTCTTCAGCCTCTAACTGACATTCACATTAGCTAGTTTTTAAAGTAGTCTAATGCAAAAGTAATCCACTGCTCCCAGTATTGAGATCTCATTAAGATATTCCTAAATCCCCCTTCTTCACTGTCTCCCTATTCCCTTCTAAATTTGATCGAAGCTCCTTTTATCACCCAGAGTTCCTCTTGACCTAACCTTCCTTCTGCTGTCCTTGCTCTGTTCTTCCACATCTTTCTTCCTTACGTTCTCCCTCCTCACCCATTGCCAGTCACAATGTAAACCATTTGCCAGTCAGACCTGTGTACCACCTTTGGTGTCGTCCACTATACCTGTGAGTGGAGTAGTTCGGCCATACTGTTCCAGAAGGAAAGTAACCTGATCTGTTTGGCGTACACCCCTTGATGTGTTTGAAACAGTGACTACTAAAAAAAGCAAGTTATCATGCTTTTCTAGCAAAAAGGAAAAGAGGCATTTGTCTTCTTATAGTGAGATCTGGGTTTTTTTCTGAGTCATCCACAATCTCTCCAGTGTCCTTAGGCCTTGAATCAGAAAAGGAATTAAATTTTTTACTGTAAATTTACTGTCACTATGATTCATGAAATTGCTCTCCAACCAGTCTATCTGAACACCCCTTGCAGAAAGCTGACGTCTAGACAAAATTGAAACGTACATCTCTGACTTTTTAAAAATATGTTTCCAGCTCTTAAAACCTGAATTTTAGTTTGTAACTTCTTGCTCTCTTCACTTGCTTACTATTAAACATCTCTTAGCTTGATTTTGGGGAGTAAAAAGACACAGGGCAATAAGATATAATTTCTGCATTATAGGCTTTTCAAACCCAGCCCTTATTAGTCTGCTGAAAGTCAGCAGCAGGATCTGTAAGTTAGGTCAGACAAGCCAAGCTTACAACACAGCGCATGTCAGCATGAAGGACGGGACATGCAGATCAAAGCTTCCCTCAGTTCATTAGACTTTCCGTTCCTCTGTGTCTCTGTGCATTAGATTACGGGAAAACTTAACAAAATGAACTAACTCCTAGTCCCTTCCTCTCTTCCCCTTTAAGTTCTCCCTCCCCCTCCCAAAATCAAACACGAGAAAAACAAGTCTTCCTACACCTGGACCCTTTGTTCATTATTCTGCGGTTCATCAAAAATTAACATCCGGTTACTGGAGCTTCCTCTCTCCTTGCCAAGACGCTACAGAAGTACTTTGTGCCAACCAGACACCTATGTGCCATTTCCGAATGCCTCACACCTCCCTGGCCTGAGTAGAGTTTAACCCATTGAACTCCAGCCAGCAGTAATCATGAAGCTGGAAAATGATGGTGAGCAAATAGTTCCTAACAAGTTTAGAAAAAATGTTGCCACATCCACATCCACAGATAATTCCTAAGAGCAGGCTGATGCCTTCCTGTCAGTCCCCTACCAAAGTCCCAACTTCAAAACTTTCTAGTCAGACATCAGATATTTCATCACAATGACATTCCACAGCCTCATGTCCATTTTGTTTAGATTAGAGATTTCTCTGTTCTTCCAGCAGCATACCTGTTTGTGCATGTCCCTCTGTTTCCATCGATAAAGACAGGCATACATCAATACTTCACTTTTACAGTGCTTCAGTATGTGAGTCGTCATCTACAGGAAGCTGGGAAATGACAGTATGCACATCACCCATAACAAGATTAGAGAAAATATTGCCATGTCCATGCATAATATAAGTACGTGCTGAAGTCTTGTTGATTAGGATGCTATGATGAGGATAGAACTGCTCTCACATTTAACACAAAGACATGCCAAATGCTTTACCAAATTGGCTATATTAAATATGTCCTATTAGACAACACCCTGTTTCAGTCCCACGAACCCATAGAAAGTTCAGCTCCTTCGGTTCCTGAGATTCCCGGCCATACAATTGCCTTCCTGCCTCTTTCCTCCCTGCCTATACGTCTTTGTTTTCCTCACAAAGCAGAGTTCAGTGGATTTCCTGTACCTCCTCACAGGCCATTACCCTTAAAGCAACATTGCTTGGCTGGAGTAAGGACCTATCTCAAAACTGAAGAAAGCAGTAGGAAGAAAGATTGCAGTCAGCCAAGACTGTCTCCAAAAAAATGGGTCTTGGGGCTCACATATACTCAGCTCACCAGGAAAAGGTGGAAGGAAGCATGTAGACCGTTACCTCCGCGCTCGTAAACCCTGAACTAGTTACTAATCTCCTCCACCTTTTCCTCACTCTCCCTGATCCGCTCCACCATTCTTCTGCTGCTCCTTTACTCTTTCTGCCAGCAGGCTGTGGCTCATCCCTTCCATCTTCATCCTCCCCCTGCCCCAGGCACTCTCCCAAGCAGCTTCTTTAACCCATGCTCCTCTAACCCACTCACCCCTGAATCTTCTCTGATATCCCCTGCAAGACCCAGGCTCTTGCTTCTCTTTTCTCATTTATTCCCTTCTCATTTATTTCCTACTTGCCAGAAGACCAGATCCTCAGCCCCTCCTGACCCTCCCTGTCCTGCCTGTGAGTCTCAGGAGCTTTTGGGAACGCGAAGCTCAGGACAAAGGGCAGTGTCAGGGCTGCGCCTGCACCAGGACGTCACTTTCTTGATAGGCATGTGTGCGTATTTTGCACATAGTCATACATTTTAAGGCAGGGAGTCTTTTTCTGTGACACAGGGGCTCTGCACCAGGCACCGCACAACAACAGCATCACCAATGAAACTGCTTCCATTCCTAGGTAGGTGAAATCTCCTTCCCTCGGGAGCGAGTGGCAGGTGGGAAGGGAGTGGGGTCTGGCAAGGAGAAATGAATGTGTCAGAGGTGGTAGAAAGCTGCTGTGTACGCAGGACGGAAAGTCCCCATAGCTTTGATCAGTGCTGCTACAGGATTCAGTAATTGCATGGTTAAGATCATCCCAAAACCAAATCCCACAAATGCCAGCCTTTAGCTCATTGTGGGCTTTGTTCTGTAAAAAACAGAAACATTGTGGGTTTCCGTGGGTTTGGGTTTTTTTCCCTCCCCTCTCTCTCCGTCTGCTTGGGAGATTTTTAGATTTCACATGTTATGAACAGTAAAATGACAACAGAATCCCACAGGTTTCTGTTTCAATCTCTGGAAGATGGTCTCCTCTCTCAAAAATAGAGGGAAAAGATGAAACTTGGTGATACCTAAATTGATTTGGATTATGTATAATTGTTAAAAAATTATGTGTAATTTTTAGTCTTGAATTTTTCATGAAATTTTAATTTGTCCAAGAAAACAATGCCTCAGTGAGCTTTCCTGAAGCAATGAAACCTGTAATTGTAACACTAGGCTAGCAAATATCCAGAATAATATTTGGGTAGGGAAAAGCAGAACCGCAGGGGAAAACAGCATCCAAAAGGGTTTTTGTGTTCATTAAGACCTGCTAACAATTTATAAAGTACAAAGTAAAAAACTTACTTTCCCTTCTGCGTTAACTGCCTCATTTCTAACCTGTTACAGAGTGTGTATAATTATTCAGTGAGCTGTTAGTTTTCTCAAAGGGAGAGATTCCTTCTTTGTGTTGAAAACCATATGCATTCATACAATGGGAAAGTAGTTATACCATTTAGGTGATTTTTTTTTCCATCCAGTGGATGGAAAAAAGAAGACAATACTTCCATAACATGGAAATGGTATTTTAAGAGATTAACTTCAAATAATATGGATACGTTTTTAAACCCTAATGTCATAATGTTGTAAATACTATGACATGTCATTTTAATGTCTCAGACCATGCATATTTGTTAGCTACACAAGTATGAAAGTGCTTATAAAAATAAAAACTCCGATCAGGGGAACCCTCTTTGGTATTTTTCACTTTAATAGGTGTAGGGCAGTTTGAATTACACTCGATACATAATTCAGAGTGCAAATAAATGTCTGTGCTTTACTGGTAAGTACTAGAGAGCTTTGAAAGCCTTTCAAATGTTTTCCCCACATCACTGAGTAACTTCTACTATGTTTACCAATTTTATACTGGTTGAGCACATACACAAGTTCTTAATGTAGTCTCTGCTGTTTCTAGCCCTTGGGTAGTTTTACCAAAGAAGTTCCTGTAGTTGGTGGCTCTTGCCCCATCCTGCAATGTAGCTGAGTCTGTGATGATGTTAAGTTTACTGGAATACACTACTTTTGCAGATACTTTTTGCCCAGATCTGTTTTTAGAGCTCAGAATGAAGTTTTTAGATAAAGAAACAAGTCTGATTTTCCTTTGTCCCAGTTCTGATTTCCAGTCTGCTGGACTATGGCTGCACTTCTGCAAGCTGCAACATGACATGCCACAAAGACGCCAGGTGTGAAGTTCAGGGTGGGACAACAGGCTGCTACTGCTCCCAAGGATATACAGGAAATGGCATAACGTTCTGTTACGGTAAACAGATTTTACCTATATGCATTTCTGTTATGTGCTTGCTTGAAAAACTTACTGAAGGACCCGTTAGCTCAAGGATTAAACTTTATGTCACAACACCTTACACTAACATGTTCTCAAAGCCAAAACTTTAGCAGTTTCTGAGAAATTCTACAACTTACTCTCAGCCTAGTATTTTAATATAGTATAGCATGCGTCTCGGTTGAATATGACCTGTTTTCCAGCTTTCCTTTTCCATGAGTGATGCTGATGTAGCTTCTCTGGTTTAGCTTCAGCAATTTCCCTTGTGACTCAGATCTTCTAAAGCTTGGAGTTGGCATGACTGCTACTTTACAGCCCTCACATCTCACCCACACACACGCAGCGCTAGGCCACTCTTCCCAGCAGCTGATCATGATCAAATAACACAGCTCCTGGGCTACTCTAGAAGACCAAGGAGGTGTGTGTGCCACAGAGACATGTCTGCATGCGAGGCCAATGTTAATTGTTCCACTAAAGCTGCTTGCAAGGGAAATGTGCCAGAAATCCTATGCAGGGATCTGCCTCTGGGTGCTTCTATCTTCCATCCAAAGAAAAGGATATTTTCTCTGCCCTCATTTCTGAGTTGTCCTCCACTATGAATAGCTCTAGTACTTATGTCCACTGTTAGGTGTGCCCAGCTGCAAGCAGGCTGAAATTCTTATGAATCTTGTCAGTTTTCAATATCCTGAGAAGTAGTTATGAATACTAACCATCCGTTTGGTCAGTTTTTGTCTTTCATGCATCTTGGGAAATTTAACAGTAACAGAAGCACTTCAGTTTGGTATGAGCACAGGTGAGCAGCCCACCTTTAGTTTGGATTTTTATAGCTTATTTGCCATGATGTACTTGGAAGTGTGCTTGTTTTAGGAAAATTTAGAATGCAAAGACCTTTTTCCTATGAAAGCTGCATACCCTTTTATAAGCTGGGAATGCTTAGAGAGAAATATAGCTGGCTAAAATAATAAGTAATATGGAATCACAAAAATGGTAGAATAATTTAGTTTGGAAGAGACCTCTGGAGGTCATCTGGTCCAGCTCCCCAGTTGGAGCAGGTCCAACTTTGAGAAGGCTGCTCAGGGCCTTGTCCAGCCAAGTTTTGAGTATCTCCAAGGATGATAATTGCACACCTCTCTCGGCCCTTGTTCCAGTGTCTGACTACCATAATTTTGAAAACCTTTTTCTGATATCTGGTTGCAGTTTCTCTTACTGCAGCTTATTACTTTTGCCTCTCCCATGCATTTACTGCTGTACATTTCTAACAATAGTTTAGCTTCATCTCCTCCCATGACCCTCCATTAGGTAGCTGTAGACAGCAATATGATTTCCCCTTTGCCTCCTCTTCTTAAACCTGAACAAGCACTGTTCTCTCAGCCTCTTCTTAGCCTCACGTCATGTAGTCACTGAACATATCTCTTGAATTTCATGCTAAACTTGCCCTAAATATAGGTCAATCATTATTTATCTATCAGCCTGGTCAAATGAAAATAAGAAGAAATGGCCTTCACCACACTAGTGCTGTATTTGCACTAATTCAGTTTTACTACCATGAACAAGATGGCTGATTTGAAAGTTAAGTGCACATTACATTTGCAGAGTCAAGGGCCTACACTTGTGAATAATGTAGAGGAAGAAGAAAACCAAGTCAAATTTTACCAAACAAACATTTACCTGGAACAAATCAAATGAGCATTTACTTATCTACCATGATCTGGTATCCACTACACTGTCTGTACTTTTCTAGAAAGTTGTGATTATGAATCATCAATTAAATCTACGGTAAAGATACCTGTTGTTCTTCACTGACGTTACTGATGTTCTTAAATCCGTCCATTATATATGTACCCATTCTGGTGTTATGAAATCCATTTTTGCAAGGATGGATTTATCTTACCTTCCGTGTTCTTTTTTCTCATACAGTATCTTTTTCTTACTTTTCTTTTGCCTGCATTTTCTTAGAGAAATCTACATTCGAAATCCATAAAAACGTTTATGGATCATTTAAAGACAGTTCAGTACAGTGAAATATACATTCACAAATGTTGTGAATCAATTAGTTGTTTATTAAGAATTATACTAAGTGTTTGGAAACTCATTCTTCAAAATAAAATTTCCAATGTCAGTCCAGGCAAACAAGCTACTAGATGTATTTGTGGTGCTTTGCAGTTAAGTGGCAATGGTTTAAAGCAAGCCTCATGTCAGGAGACCAGTGTTTTCTCTGGTAAAATACCTCAACAACCACCAAAGTCACTTACCCTTCAGCTAAGCAGCAAAGCTTGTATCAGAACTGTGTGGCTGTTACCCCTGAAAGGGAGAGAACGTTTCTCTCGGGCAGCATGTTGCACAGTGCATTATTAACATTGTGCAGTAGTCCTCTAATAGCAGAAACAAGTAACCTGAATTTTAATTGGGTAGGCTGAAAAAAGGATTAGAAATATAGGCTAAACCCTATAAATAGTTTAAAGCTACGAAAACGTAAAGCAAAGCCTCAGTTGTTTAATGATGTATTATATCTTGCTGTTCTGTGTGGCGAAAGCGGCAGGTGTATCTGCTGTTCTAGAGACAGCTACTCATTTTTCTTCAGTTAATAATCTTAGGCCTTTTACAATGATAGTCCAGTCACCTTCAAAGGAGATCATCAATTATGTGCTAATACAGGCATTTTCTAAAGAGTATATATGGTACGTTGTGTTTACATATTTGCCCTTTTAGTTATTTAGATAGGTTGTGAGAGTCGTAATTACTGTCAACAACATTAATAATTTCACATAGCGTAGAACCAACTTCTTCATTGTGCTTATCCAGTAAACAATTAAACCAGAACAGTGGTTGTTTTGAGGGTTTATTCTGGAACAAGAAATTTGTTCTCCCTGTAAAAATGTTGAACAACAAATAATGCTAGTTTCCAGGTTAGTCCTCTTAAGCTTGTATAGCTGGAAAACTGTCCCTTTTTATTTATAGGTACATTCTCACAGTATTTGAAAGGTTTACATTTGTTTCTCTACTTTCACTTGCTTCTAACACCTCTTAAATACTTGTAAAAGTTATTTCTTTGCTAGCTCTGTCTTTTCAGTGTGATACACTTAGACATTTTCCCTTGAGTTTACTGTGCTGCAAAAGGCAATAATGCTCTGTTACATTTATTTCCTAGCACCATTATTGATGAATCATGAATCACTGATGTCAGCATACCTTAGGAATGGGGTTTGTTAGTTTTTACTTTGCTCCCTTTGCCAGCTGGCTAAGTGACTGCAGAGAGCTCAAGATTATTGGATTTGCTGTGTATAGATAAAGACATATAGATATGAATTTAATTTCCTGGTGTCAAAGTCATGGCTTTTAAAATAATTATCCTCTTACAATCTTTCCCACAAGATTTCAACCACTTTAAATTAGGTCATATTTTGGACTTTCTGAAGGCATATTTTGGCCAGTCTAACAAAAAGCTAATCCTCTTCATAATCTCATTGTCTTCAGTAAGAATATGTGCAGGAATGCACATAGTCAGGAGAAGAACTGATTGTAGGGTCTGGCCTCTTTTATATATTGGAATTATAACTTACATAGCAATAAATTCCTTCTGTACAGTATCTTCCAGAAAGCCATAAATGAGTCACCTTGTCAAGCTTTACACCTCTGAGGTACAAAATACTATCCCATTCTTCTTACTTCTTCTTTTGTATTTATATTCCTTGCTTTATGTAGTATAAGATGCAAGAGAATGGCCTCTGAAAATATAACTATTTGCCTTTTAGGACTCAGTTCTTGGGCAGATGTGTATTCTGAATGTAATGCATGAGGCTTTAGTTTCACATTATCATACACCTAATTGAAGTAGCACAGCTAGAGCTCTTGGCATAAAAATAAAAATATATCCAGATAAGACTGATTTATAGACAAGTTAACTTCCTCTTGTGCAAAAATGCCATGGATTTTTTACAGATAAATAGCATATAGTTGCCACTTCTGTAAATCCACTTCTTTATATTAAAAGTCAGCCATATAAATTAGGTGTTGCTCATAATCCCAGCTTTCTTCCAAAAGAAAATTAAAGGAAACAAACAAAATTTCAGATCCTTTAGAGAAGATTGGAGTGGAAATAAAACTTCATAGAAGCCAATATTTTATTTTTAAAACAGGGAAAAATGAGTTGGCATCGTTGATGCTTTCCTAAGCAGCTCTGCTGTTTCAATACTGGCTGCTTCTTGATTGCTGACTGCCAATTTGCTGCTTTGCTGGCACACTGCAGGAAATTAAAGTAAACAGTGTGATCACAGTGTTTACTTTAACTTTGTAAAATACGGAAGGAAAATGAAGCAGTGCTGTTTGTTCCAGGAGGGTAGGCAAGCAAGCAGGAAAAGCCTGAACACAATATCCCTCCCAGATATCCTTGCACAATATTCCCTTGTAAATGTCACTTGCAAATTATACTGCAAAACTAATCAGTCTTACTCGTGAAATAGTTACAGCACTTCCAGAAATAGTGAGCATGGACTTAGGCTATCAGGAAAACGTTGTGCTGAAGCAAGGCACTGACTCTTTCTGAAGTGCAGTGCAGGAGGATTTATCATTTTCCGGAGGCAAAAAATACATCAGTGCAAAGTGGTATTTTATATCAAAATACAGAATCCCTGTTAGAACACAGGGCAATTTGTGTAAACTCAGCTGAATCAAATTGAAAGCCTACTCAATATCTGAACACAAACATATTTTCTTGTTTTACTGAGGGTCATACGACCAACTCTCTGGCTTTTGCCAGCCGCAAAAGGAGCTTCCCTGTGAGACATCAGCTCCTTGCTCTAAGGTGATGTCGCTGTGTCCCACCATCAACTTTTATTGCAGTCACTGCATTTGTTTTGATTCACTGGTGTCACCATTGTCATTCTGCAGCACCAAATTGGTATATAGTTTTGAGGGAATTCTTTCCTTTCAAATTAACATGACCCTGTAAAACCACTGTGTATAATCATTTCATTCTATCC